AGAGCCAGGGCTTCCAGGAGAACCCGTCCCCTTTCCAGGTGGTCGTGTAGGGAATGAGGCAGCTAGGGGGCTGTAAATCCTGCCCCCAGTGGGGGTGATTCCTCCCCGCTCGCAGGGCACTGGCACTGGCCACAAACCCCCCCGGGATCCCTGGGATCCCCGGAGTGGGGGCACAGCCCGGCCCCACAGCACACACTGGCCTCTCCCGAGGGGGACTGCGGCCCCTCCTACCCGGGGAGGGCTTTATTAATTACTGGTAATTAGTTATTTTACATATTGTCACTGATGGGGGTTTGTTGCAGGGAGCTGCTGATATTTCAGGGATAAGGAGGGTGAGTGTGTGCCGTGCAGCTGAATCCAGGACAGGGCTCCAAAGCCCCGGCCGCCGGCACAGCCCTCACCGAGTGTTTCCAAACTGAATAGTCATTGGGTTGGCAGATAATTCAGAAACTATTTGTATGAGCTGTTTATCAAATTATTAACTGCACAGATGTTGTTTGGTTGAAGAGCAGCTGAACCTTCTCTCTGCCAGCCGTGGAGACAAAGGTCTGCAGGAATAATTGGAGATGTGCATGGAATATTAAATTAATTTACTGCTCTTAATTCTTATGCAAATCCTGACCTCTGATAGAGCCTATCAATTACCCTGCACACAGGGAAAAGAAAGGAGAACAGTTTCTTTCTTTTCTTTTCCCCCCTCTCCTTTTTTTCCCGTTGTTCTCCAGTTTGGGGTTTTGTTTCTTTTTTTCTTTCTCCCTTTTGAAAGGGAACTTGGGAAAGGAAATATTTGGGGCAGGAAAAAAAGCCATTTATTTGTGGGAGAAGCAAAGGGCTGGGGTTATTTAATTGAATCTCCTGGTTGCAGCGATGTCCCCCAGGGAGTCCGGGTGCAGTCTTTAAGACTGGGGTGGCTCAGGGAAGGCCTGGGAATGGAGGCCAGAGCTGGGCTGGAATAGCTCCACACACTTCCCTAGGAGGGGCTGGAGGGGCCCAGCTCTGCCAGCACCGTGTTGGGCTGCAGTGGGACAGGACTGGAGGCCCAGGTTGATCCTGAGTGGGTTTTGGTGGGACTGGGGGCAGGAAGGGTCCAGCTGGGGGTTCGGGTGGGTTATTGGGAAGGGCTTCCTGCTGCTGGGAGCTGGGCTGGTTCTGCCAGTAATTACCAGGGAAGAAGAAAGGGAATTTGTTGTCACATCTATTGTGAGGTGCCAGGTAAAATGAAGCAGGATTTAATTGGTCCTCATTAAACAGAGCTGGTTTTCTCATACGGAGAAAGGCCTCGTGCGGGCAGCGTTTAATTGGGGTTGTGTGCGCGCTGCTCAGCCAGCGCTTAAAGGAGCACTCCGGGCCCTGCTCTTTCATCGGAGTTTCTAATAAGGATAAATAAATAGGATGAATAATGCCGTGGGTCTCTCCCTCGACCCCTGCAGCACAGTGCTGTTCCCCCCGAGCCGCTCCCCGATATCCGTGGATCCAACACAAGTGGGATCCCTCGGCAAGCAGCACCCGGCACAGCCCCGTGGGCTCCCTTAGCACGGGAAAAGGGGAGCAAAACCCCCAGTTCCACCACCACGGAGCAGTCTGGTGGGGCTGGGATGGGGAATTCCTTGGTTAGTGACTGTCAGAGAATGGGGATGGGGCCCGGGGGGAGGGCAGGAGGGGAAAGAAGGGAAGGAAAAGAAAGGAGGGAAAAGAAAACGGGTTTTTTTTCTTTTTCTTCTTTTTTTTTTCTTTCCCCGACCTGTAAATCCAGGGAAGCGCTGGGAGACTGCACTCCCCCTCCCACGCAGCCCACTCGGGTAATTTCATTTATCCCACAAATCTAATTAGCAATCCGTGGCTGACATTAATACGGATCTAATGAGGCCGGCGATGACCAGATTTGCGGGTGAGCGCTGACAGAGCCTTAAAGGCACATCGCGCCCTGGTATCGGCGGGACCCGGGCGGGGG